TGTTTTGCTCTGTGCAGGAAAGTGATGCCACACATTTACTTTGTACTATGTTTAATAAGGAAATAAAACAATGGTTATCTCAGTGGACATGATCATTTATTTACATATTTTACCTGTATGTAGGCTACCCGGAAGTCCTGTCTGCCAGCGGCATGCAGCTGTAGTCTGTACAAACATTATCTGAGAGTTGCTCCATTATCTACCCCTGTTCAGTGCCAGAGGCACATCATGACCATGCTCTAAGCAAAGGGAAACCAAGTCAAAACTGTATGCTAAGCATAATGCAGGCAGTCGCATGCCAGGGATAAAAAGGGTATCGGATTTGTGATTTCTGCTCAGGTGAGGTAGGTGAGATCTTGTAGCCTACTCAGATAGTGAGCACTGAACAGACGTCTTTTAGCCTCAAACTAGACTAAAATCGAGGGGGGCCCTTCTGGAAAAATCGGCATGTGTGTAGTTTCAGTTTTGATAGTTCAGTGATGACGTTTATTGGAGGAAACCTACAGACCTCTAGCTACTGTAATCAAATGCTAAATGTTTATAGCTGTAATATTAGTTACTAAATATCCTGAAAACTTTTTGTCCTAATCAACTTGCTATATGTGTTAGAATTGTACATGAACATAAGTATTTTCTGTCAAAGTTCAGGTTTGGTTTTAACTTTTCACAGTTCTTCCATTTTTGATCTGTGCTCCTTATTGGTTGGAAGTTGCCAACACTCAGTGATGTTCAGTACAAACAGGCAACAAATTAAAAGAAAATCCTGAATAAATGAGTGGAAATTTAAAGCAGCAGGGGTCACTGATTCATTTGCCAAATATTTATCTTTGCATCCACAGAATTTCCAAAATTTGGAAAAATGCCAATTTTGTCTTTACAGTAGAGTCAAAGGTGATGTCTTCAAATGTGTCCAACAAATCCAAAGCTATTTAGTTTATCATGTATGACAAAAGCATCACTTTCTCACATTAAAGGTGGGGGACCCAGAAAATAATGGTGGTTCTGGCTTCAGCATAGTTGCCAGTTAATTTTCTATAAATGAACTGATGGTTGGAACTTGAGGTCAATGAGGTTTAATGGTTATATGAAAACGTGTGTTGAACACAATGAGGGAATGTGGTTTAGAGTGATGATGCTTCTTCCCAACATGAACAGAGCATAGAGCTGTTCTGGAGACATCTCTGTGCATCAACCACAAATCAAATACAATACTACTATAAATACATCATTTCTAACTTATTCACTAAAGGTTATAGAGGGCATTTATTCTAACAAATACTTATTTCAAATAAAGTTATCTAAAGTTTTAAGGTACCATTCACCTGAAGCTACCTTGGTTGTCCTCACTGACCAATAACAAAAATGACTAGCATCATTAAAATAAGTGCTTGCCAGGCCAACTGGTAGTGTCTGAAAACCCCTTTCCTACATTAGTTTCTAAAACTTTACCGACATCACTGGTTAGATGTGGTCAGACAACACATCGTGACCCACTGTGTCTCCTACAGAGACCTTCATTCTTACAAGATAAGAGTCTGTATTCAGACCAGAGGCCTCTCTCTAAGGTGAGAACTTTTATTTAATACAGCCACAACATGCAGATTTCTATCAAGCGAATCAAAGGAACAAATGAAAATCATGCACACATTAAAAAGCAATATAAACAGGAGAATCAACTGATAATTACAATGAAAAATATCTACTTAGATGAGTTGGATTTAATTTTATCAAATATTACACTGTAGAGATGATCAGGTTGACGTGCGGGTGGACAAATAGGAAGTCAGCATTACACATCAGGGACAGTAATACAGTAGCAAGGACACACTGCCTGGATATTATGTGTGCACTTGCTTTACATTCCTGTTTCATTAACATCTTACCCTAGTGCAAATATCATTGAAACAGCACATAGTAAGTAAAGATAAAACAATAAGGAAACAACAGCAAACCTCAGCCATACTGAACTCAGATAATATGTTCATTTCCAAAAAATTAAAGGTGTGTATGGACAAAAATAAGAGGAAACATTTATAACTGTTCAACATCATTTAATCGTCATCAGAGGAGTCTCGCTCGATGCTATAAGCCATGAAGAAAGCGTCAGGGCGGGACGGGACGAGGGGATGACCTGGTCTCACAATCTCAAAGCCCAGGAAACTGAATGTACGTAGCAGGGATGCTGAGGAGAGACCAGATGTAAACAGAGTGAAAGCTTGATTTCTGACACTGATACAGAAACTACACCTCCTAAAACTTAGCCCAGCAAATTGAGATCTTATTTATAAATTCAGGAAAGTCTGAAATTCCTCTGTTGACCTTCTCTGTTGTGTATACACTAAATGTCCTATCAAGTCAATCAAGCTCCTGTTTTGGTCTTGTTAGTGATGTTTCACCCTCAATTAGCATTAGTAAGGTCTCTTCATTGCTCCAATAATGCTGGCTTTTTGTAGTTACTCCGTCAGCGCTGCTGCTTGCCATGTTGATAATTGTTTATGCCAGTGACAACTTCCCGTTTTTCTCCAGTCAAATGCACACAAGCGACCTTGGAGCTTGTCTTTTGCACACACACTCTTGTAGAAAGCTGTTTAGAAACCTAGTTATGCATATACATGGCAGAGAAATCAGCGATCTCCCGGAGAAACCTACCTGGGGAAATCAGGTTTCCCTAATCCCCTACCCTGAATACATAAACCAGGTTTCCTGTATACATGACAGTTTAGAACTCTGCTTACCTGAGAAAGCCAAAAGTGACCCAGTTACTTAAGGAAACACAGTCACTGTTTTAACAGTTAACTGAATTTTTACCATGTTGGGGAAAATGTGCAACAAGTGAAAAATCTAAAATCTCATCTAATTGGTAGCATTACAGGTATATTGGACCTTCAACTTCATTTCTTGCCATCATCATCATCATCCAACTCGGTTTCTTGTGTTCCTAATGTTACTTCATACAATCCTTCCTCAGGTTGTACTAGTGTTGTTGCCTCCTCTTCGATTGTTCACTGTACATTTTCAGTCACACATCAGAATTCAAGTGTACTTGAAGAAGAACCTAATGTATATCATGTGCACCACACTAGTGATGAGATGGTGAAAAATTACATTTAAGTTTAAAAAACAAAAACTAATGTTTTGAAAAATTATCAAATATCAAAATGTATGCTGAAAACACTTTCATACCCCTTTACTTAAAAAAATGACCCTTATAATTACAAAATTGTTCTTTTTCTACAGTGGCTATTCATTAAATGTGCAAAAAAAGTTAAATATATTACTGTACATTTCACAGGTGCCTGACTACAGACTGAACAACTATGATGGTTCTAACTACAGGTGCTATTGAGTTTTAATGTTAAACATCAACCGTTTTTAGAAACCAAAATAAATAATAATAATAATCTCACCTCTATCATCACGGTTCTTGTGAAAACAGATGAAGACGTGATCCACCTGCAGCTGCTCTTCAGCAAATTCCAACAGAAGAGCAAAACTGTACAAAAACAATGCAGGCAAGAAGTGTTTATTATACAATAATAATAATTTTTTTTGTTGTTTATATAGCACTTTACAACACCCAAGGGTGCTCAAAGTGCTTCACAACAAAACATAAAAATAAAAGCAGAACATGCTAAGACACAAACTAACAAAAAGGAAAAGTTAAAATTACACAAATTTAAAACCATGGTCTATAAGCAACTATAAAACTCCTGTACAATAAAAATCAGTCAAAGTACAAACAGAATAAGATTACAGAATATAAAATCAGAAAACCTGAAGGCACCTGTATAGCGCCACTGCTATAAATTAAATGCCAAAAGACAGTCTGAATAGAAGTGCCTTTAATTTAGACATAAAATTAACTCCATCATAAACCAAAGCTCAGGAAGCAGGGTATTCCAGAGTTTGGGGACATATATGGCAAAAGAACGATCACCCCACTTTTTGTACCTTGCCCACGGGACAACCAGAGACAAATGCTCAGAGGAACTTTTAAAATCAATTCTAAACTGTACCGGAAGCCAGTGAAGAGACTGAAGGACGGGGGTGATGCGAGCATACTTTGGAGTATTTGACAGTAGGCGAGCAGCCGCGTTCTGTACTAGTTGGAGCCTACGGAGAAAAGGCCGACTAATTCCAGTAGTCAAGTCGTGAGCTAATGAAAGCATGAATGGCTTTTTCTAGGTTGACTTGAGATAAAAAGGGCATCACTTTTCCTAAGAGCCTCAGCTGAAAGAAGCTTATTTGGACCACATTTTAGGAGGAATGTCAATAAACCTCTGGGGGGGTTTCAACACCCAACAGCTTCAGGGTTGTTACTTCTTTGGTCAATCAGGCTTGGTATCCACATTTAACCAATTTGTGATTTTTGCATTTTGCAAATAATCAATACTGTGCCTTCATTTCATTTCATATATAAAAATAATCACACTTAAAAATGTTTAAACTAAAAGACAAATCTTTTAATCACATGGACAAAAAAATGTTTTGCTTATTGACCTGTCTTTGCTGCCCTCGGGCAAAGCCCCAGGAGGAATTTCAATGTAAAGGTTCCCCCCTTTCAGCGCTGCCCTCCAGACACAGCGTTTGCCTTCAGAGCGACAGGGCTCAAAGAGCAAGAAGCGCACTCTGCTGTTGGCAGGGGGCGGCTCCTCAAGAACCAGCAACTGAGCATCCTAGAAGACAGTGAGGACAAGAAATACTATCACTACAGATGACCCCAAGAGTATATTATAATTACAGAACACAAAAATGCATTTATGACTTTGAAAAACTGCCTGGGACTACATAAATCAGACTGTTTAAAAGGAAACTATGATCATTAAAAACAACTTAGAGCTGTCTCAGGAAGGTGCTGTGACCTCATTTTGAATCAGGTCACACAAAAAAAGTACAGTCATGTGAAAAAATTAGGAGGTGTGCTGCTAACTTTTTCCTCAGTTGGAATAGGCATTTTTGTAGAATTACATTTACAGAAGATCTTGAAAAGACTTTTCTTCAGTTTTACTTGTTTAGTTGTATTACTTTAATCTCTCTGTATTGTTAAAATTGAGATTAAATAACCATATATTAAAACATGTTACAAAATACACATGCTTTCAAAGGGTGTCCTAATTTTTTCACATGACTGTAACAACCACTGCAGTGTCAAATGCCTGAACAGTAAAGCGGTAACGATAAAAGCAAGTGCATCAAATTCAACGAAAAAGACCCAGTTTGTGTGCCTTTGACAGAGAATAAGCCTCGGCTCAGGTGCACACAAGACAACATGATCAACAGAGCGGATCCAAAAATCCAAACCCTCCTCCTGATTAGTATCAAACATGTTTAGATCAGTGGCCTTGGAGTTAAATGAGTAATTTGTCACTCTGACCAATATTAAAAGTTATGATCTAGCTTTACAGGTACATTCATATATTACAAAAACAACCATAATGTCACATTGATATCGATAGCTTGACTCAGGTCAAAGAGTGATATGTTTCAAAAGTGCTGAATTGCAAACTGCCACCATTGTATTTCTCTCCCAGTCAATAAACCAGTCTTTCTGCACTGTTAGCTCTACATACAGACGTGGACAAAATTGTTGGTACCCAGTAGGTACAGTGTTCTTTTATTTGTATGCTTCAATTTTGTGTCTGAGAACATAGAGCTGATGTGATTTGCCAAAAAGTTCCAGTTTCGTCTCATCTGTCCAAAGGACATTCTCCCAGAAGCTTTGTCGCTGGTCAATATGCACTTTGGCAAATTCCAGTCTCACTTTTTTATGATTTGCTTTCAACAGTGGAGTCCTCCTCAGTCGTCTTCCATGAAGTCCACTGTGGCTCAAACAGGGACGGATGGTGTGATCTGATACTGATGTACCTTGACCTTGGAGTTCACCTCTAATCTCTTTGGAAGTTGTTCTGGGCTCTTTGCTTACCATTCGCATTATCCATCTCTTCAATTTGTCATCCATTTTCCTCTTGCGGCCACGTCCAGGGAGGTGTTGCTGTGGTCTTGGAGTTGTTACTGCCGACCCACACATTTTGTGGCCTCCCTGTTAGAAAGTCCAGCACCCAGTTGCAGAGAGAAATTTTGAGTCCCAGGTGTCCAAGTTTTTGTGTAAGCTGCTGGGGGATTATTGTGTTGAAGTCTAGGAACAGCATTCGCACACAAGAGTTCTTTGAATCTAGGCGGGTGAGGCCTGGATGAAGAACTGCAAACTGAAATGGGTTGTGAAAGGGAGGAAGAGGACATGACATTCTGCATGACCAGCCGCTCGAAGCACTTCATAATAATTGAAGTCAGTGCTACAGGCTGATAGTCATTGTAACTGGTTGGGTGGAGCTTCTTTGGAATTGGAATTATTGTGGTGGCCTTGAGACACGTGGGAACAACTGTTTGGCTCATGGAGATGTTAAAGATGTTCATGAGGACATCCTTGGGCTCCTCAGCACAGTCCTTTAAAACACGACCAGGTATGTTATCTGGTCCAGCTGCCTTGCATTGGTTAATCCTGGAGAGGGTCTTCTTCATGCTGGCTACGGACAGACACACAACCTGCTCACCCAGGGGAGGGGTGGTCTTCTGTGCTGGTGTGTTGTTCTGTGTTTCAAAGCGGCCAAAGAAGTTATTGATGCTGTTCAGTAGAGAGATGTCACTATCACAGCTCTGAGGTGGGGGTTTAAAGCCTGTGAGGGTTTGGATGCCTCGCCAGAAACTCTGTGCATCTCTAGTGTTGCTGAAGTGTCCAGATATTTTCTTGCCGTTTCACGTTATTTCAGTGACCACTGTAAGTTTCTCTTTCTTTAATAGAAGGGTATCAACAATTTTGTCCACATGTGTAGGTCCACACTTTATTTCCCCTGACCCCACTCAAAAACACACTTCTGCTAAATTACTGTAAAAACACTTAAAAACGTACAGAATAAAATAGCTTAGCTGAAAGATTGCGATCCCGCTGGTCATTCCCTCGCCCACCTGGGATCTTCAGGGGTGGGAGAGGGGCATCAGGAGCACCACAGAGGCCCCGGACACAGGTTACTGCAACAGCGGGTGCACCTCCTGGGACTGGAGATACTGGAGGATGAAACAAACACATACTCAGTTTGATCCATTATATGTACAATATTCATCGGTGGTTCTACTACAAAATACAAATCAAGCTTCTATTGTAAACAACAGGCTTAAGTGATTCATCTGTGACATGACAGTAAAACATTACTAAAGGTTAGTGAATCTTTAGATACCAAACTCAAGCCCCAATGGCACAGTTAAATAACCAATTACAATCTTAGGCAGAGACAGCTGTATGCAAAACTTTTGACTCACATCAATTCAGTTGGGATGGTTTCTTCATAAATTAGCAGGCTAGACAAGTTAGATGACTAGTTACTCTGTTAAAATTGTAACATGCAACTATTAAGTACTTCAAAGTAATGTGTCATTACCTTTTGATTATTTTCTAACAAATATTTTACACTGTGCAATAAAGCTGAGAAATCCTAACATACATTTAAACCAGGCAAGGTAAATCTCACATTACACAACACTGATTAGTCAAGGTTTTATTAAAACGTCCTCAAAAACAATTCAGTTACATAGTACTTTAAAAATATGTCATCTACTGAAGGGCACCAAACTAATTAAAGAGCTAAACTACATTTTTAACATTGAGAATTTTGATGGTCACAACTTGTCAATGAGCTTTATACTGTACATTAATGTTAGAGCCTTTTTCTATTTGTTGAAAATATTGTTGAATTTTCAAAACTGAGAGGCATACTTGTCTGACAACATGGCCACCTGCCTTGGCGTTGGTGGCTGGTTGCAGTCAGACATGTCAGACTCAGGTGGCTTAGAGCAATGCACGTCTGATTGACAGACAAGAGGCGGTGCAAAGTCAAACAAGACAACCAATCAAAAGCAATGCTCAAAATTGAACACATGATGCTAAATGAATAGAGCCTATCCAGGTATGGCAACAGCTCCTTGTTGGCCACCCTACCCTGGATGGGTGTTGCACTCAAATTTACCCCAACACCTTTGGTTTGGGGTGATTTTATCTTACGCAACCACAATACTGATGATTTTCAGTCAAATAAGCACTACAACCCCTTCAGACAATTCTGTTTTTATCTGAACATGTCATAACCCTTGGAACTTTAGCCTGTAGAAACATCCATTGTTTCTGTCAGAAAACAGACATTTAACCTCCTGAAACCAACAGCTGTGTGCATTGGTTTCTCAGGGCACATTTTTAGCATGTCATGATTCTAAGGGGGATGCTGTCATAGACCCAGGCTCTGTTTGTCTATCCACTGGCCTAAAATATTGCACCAACCACACTGCTCCACTTTACAACAGGGACAAACACCAGTTTAAAGAATGAGATCAGCCATTAGGATTCAGAAGCCAAACTGCTCTGCGGAACCAGCTTGCACAGGTGCCTGTGTGTGTGGCTGCATATATTTACACCATTAAGAGTAGGCCTATTCTCAGAGCTCCTACTAGAAACAAAACCCATTAGCAGCAGCAGTGCTGGCACAGTGACGCAAACACTCACAGATGCTCTCTTAACACAAATGCCACTGCTGTGCTATATGTGGAGCAGATGTGTGAAAACCAAACAAGAAACACTGTCACTACCATAGCTCAAGCTAATTAGATCAATATGCAATGGCCAACCTATTCCCGGCTCTTGGAAAACATTAAAGATTGTACAAGAACATGGGTTCTCCCTAAATACCACTATTAGATTATGTCAAACACTTCATTATCATCTTTATGTAAAACCTTCAATGTCTTTTGTTCCTGCACTAAACCCAACACAAAGCAAAAGGTTTTCAACTGACCCCATTCAGCATTATCCTAAGTCCACAGGAGGCTCCAGTGCACATTCATGCCCCAGGTTAACCTGACTGCCCCTTGTCACATGAACAAGTCTCTCGAGCTTCTGTTTACATCAGAACACCTTTGCCATATCATGTAAAGACCACTCATCTGTGGGAGGTTATCATGATTTAAGTACTGTTAGTGTTTCAGATGGACATCATGCAGACATTTCAAAAGTAGATCATAGATCAGTAGCTGCTAGTGTCTTAAAAAAATCCAAGTATATAATTCTAACATTTTTGTACAATGTTTAACAACCTCTATTACATAACCGCATTCATGTTATTGCCATAAAATAAATGCCAAAAATCATCAGAGAAAGCAGAGAAAGGCTGAAAACTAAACTTCCCCAACCCCCTCCCCCTTCGCAGTGCAGTGGAAATTTCCTATGAGCCCTTCACAACACTAGAGCTACACAAACAGCCTCATCCACTGGTTGACAAACGAGCCCAGTGTGTTTAAATTAATACCAGGTTAGATTGAACCACAACGCACAGGCTAATTTCATTGTTGATTAGGTATCTTAACGGACTAGCCCCGCAGGCCAAACCGGTTCATCGCACCCTTTTCGAGAAAGTACATGATGTCTTAACGCCTGCTCCGCACCTGAAGGGAGGGCAAAACGGGAAAAAAACAAGCCATGAAGCTACAAATGATCAATTCGATCGTTCCAACTACGTCGTTTAGCAAGAAGATAGCATGATATAACGTTATATAAAGCTTCCTGGCCTTGTAGCCTCACGGCACTAAAGTAAAATTCAATGTGAAACATAATCAGACTATTCACTGCACTGTAAAATATGAAAACGTTACTGTATCACTAGCTGACAGCTAGCGTTAATGCAGTTAGCAATGCATTTACGTTGACATTCACTTGAAAGTTAGCCAACACATGTCAAATTAGGGAAAATAGCTGTTCGTCCCTTTTACGTGTGTATTTAAAAGTAACAAAAGCTGGATGAAATGTTATCAATAAACAAGTCGACACTTTGTGACGTTTCATATATTAGCTTATGCGTTACCATTAGCATGGCTAGCATGAACATGTAAGTCAACAGCAGAGTTGACTATAGTTGTTCGATACCAGTGTTATGCAATCGTGGCACAGTGCTGAGATGTAGATATTTAGAAACGGCGTTTAATGGAAAGGCATTAAAACGACCCGTGTAGTTTTATAAACGTCACTTGAAATAAATAAAACTGTTATGTAAACAAGGGGAATAGTTCCAGCTCCTTCTTGAAATACACAGCGTCTCTTTTAGCTAGGCCGCGGCTTTTAAACGTAGCTTGCTACGTTAGCTTCTAACAATTCACAACAACATACCTTTCACTTTCAGGTTTATTACTGGATTTCTCAATAAAAGGCATCTCGGATACGTTTCTTTCCTTTTCTCTAACAAAACAATGACTATTCAAAATCGTTTGTAGGTTAGATTTAACCATCCGGCCAGCGTCCACCAGCTACTCGCTCTACCCGCTCTGCTCTCGTGCTGGCTGAGACTGAGAGTTGTCAGGGTGCAGCATTTGAGAGGGGCGTGTCCTCAGCATCGTCACCATCGTGACCATCCGTAAGATATGACGCAGTAAAGAGCTCCTTCAAGTCAACTACTGCAATTCATTTATCAATGGGCCTGCGGTCTTTTTAACTTAATAGGGCTGCAGCAAGTAAAAGTCTTGTATTGGCAATGTAAAAACTACAGTGTAATAGGTCTCTAACACTGACTGGTTACACTGGTAACAGGTAGGATACAGCTGAAAGAGTAGCTATATTTTATTCTTCTCCAGCAGGAAGAAATTAAGTTAGTATTATTTTCTTCTAAATTTGTTTATTAATTCTACAATTTTGTTATTTATATATCTATTTATTCTCCATTAAATTGTATTTTTATTTTGTCACATGAGTATTTTTTATTGCTTGACATATCCTCACTGTTATTTATTGATTTGTTTTTATTCTCTATAAATCACTTGCAAATTCTGTTTTAAAAAGGTCCTTTATGGATAATAATTCTAATAATACCTTTAGCAATAAGCTAGCTTTATATGACGTTATATAAATAAGTTTCCTGGCCCCTATCCTCACAGCACTAAAGTGAAATTCAGTGTGAAACCTAATCAAGATCAAGACCAAAGATTTTTATTGTCAATTCACTATATGCGCAGGACATACAGAAAATCAAAATACCGTTTCTCTCTTTCCTAGTATTGAATGCCATACCATTTAGGGAACGAAAATAGAATAAAAGTAGAGTAAAAATAGACTAAAAAGAATAAGAAAACTAAATCAAAGTGATTAGGATAAAACTAAATGGTACAACCTAAGAGGCTATGACTCAAACCATGTACAATCAGTGACAGTAGTGAAAATAATAACAAGGAAATTGTCAGATGGTTGTGAGATTGAGATTCACATGGACAGTAGTGCAAATGACAACAGCAGCAGATATGACGGTAAAAACAGTCAGCGGCAGATTTACATGTAATATAACAAGAAGGAGGAATGTACTGGGTTTGTGCAAAGCAGCAGAGGTAGTCTTTTTATGTTCTGTGGTGGGTCACAGTCCAGGGGCAGGGGGCTGAGGGGTGAGGTAATGGACAGCGTTCAGCATCCTCACAGCCTGGTGGATGAAGCTGTTTGTAAGTCTGGTGGAGTGGGCCTGACGACTCCGATACCTTCTCCCTGAATACAGGAGTCTGAAGTGGGAGTGTGAGGGGTGGGAGGTGTCATCAGCAATGCCGATGGCTCTGCAGGTGTTAAAGATGTCCATGAGGGAAGGCAAAGGGGCACTGATGATCTTACTGGTTGTATTCACTATGCGTTGCAGGGTCCAATCTAATACTGGTAGCGCTTGTCCACCTAGTTTGCCTTCTGGTTAGCACCAACCATATCAGTACACACTATGAATGTCGTTTTCCTTTTTTCAACAACACTCATCTGTGCCTGTCAGTCAAGGAGCAAAGGAGCATGCTGCAGGGTGTAAGACTCTGGTGCCTGCAGATCAGAAATTACCACTAATAAATTAAGCTTAACTTCCGTGGTCAGGCAAAACTGAGGAGTCAGATCAGGTAGGTTTCTTTTATGTGTGTGTGTGTTTGTGTAGAGCAGTGGTTCTCAAACATTTTTTGTGATTCCCCACTTAAGAGGGTGGGTGAATTTTCAAGCCCCACTTGTCAAAAAAATTATAACAAAATTGGCCAATTTTAAAATTTCAAATGTATTGAAATATCAAATAACACTAAGTTGAAAACGGATAAAATATAAGTGCAGCTGTATCGTTTGACAGGGGGATAGTTTTCAATTTTGCAGCACTTGTTTCATTCAGCATAATCGACACCATGTCTACACTTACAGGGAGAATGAGCTGCTCAGCAATTGACTGGGGTGTGTTGTCTCTAAATGTCTTCTTAATTTGTTGGGTCTCATGCTGTCTGCTGCCGGTGGTTTAAGACACACATGGGTCTGTCTTCTGCCCCCACCATTCCAACCGTGAATCCAAGTGCAGGATGGGCTTCATCATATTTTCTTCTCAGCTGGCTTTTTGGTTGATAAGGCTACTGCCTGTTGTTTCTTTGTCTGCTTGCGCTGAATCGCCTGCTTTTTTGTGGTCCATGTAACAAATTTATCCATTTACGTTATTATGTCCCCTATGTAAACTATTGGCCCTCTGTGTGAATGTTTCTTTATATTGTTGTGCTGCAGTTAACATGCTGACATTAAACCGTTATTGTTGCACTATGGTTCCACCTTTTTCTCCCAGGCCCTGAACTGATGTTATTTTAATTTACTTGTATTAATGACCCATTTCTAATTTTCTCCATTCATTGCTCCCCACCTGTCATGTCTTTATTCCCCACTAGTGGGGCGCGCCCCACACTTTGAGAACCATGGGTGTAGAGGTACATATAAAGCTAAACTCTAAACTGAACTATATGTTTTTCAACTTGTAGCAGGTGCCTATAGCTATCTTATGTCAGTGTATGACACACAGTACAGTGTGTAAGATGGTGTACATAAATTTTGTCTTAATTTGGATGCAATTATAACCTTAAACCTTTATCTACAGGACTTAAGGAGCCAGAGTTGGAACATCTGTAAACATTATCAGTAAGAAACATGTCCACCACAAAACACCAACTGAATTTTACAGCCACTGCTGTACATTTACTCGACCCATTGGTGTCTTTTCCTAGTGTCATATGACCAGATTTTGGCCATCAAAGATTTGAGCGATGTTCCAAATCCATGGAAGGGATTTACCATGAACCGCTGCTTAGTGGTGGCACTGGTCATACTGCTTGTGAGTGGAGGGGTAAATGAAGTGCATGGTGAGTACTATCTTTTTACACACAGAAAAAACACAACGGACAGAGGAAACATGACTAAGAATAACAAACTGTATCTAATGTTGACAGAGAGTTTTATTGGGTTTATTTTTGCATTACTGTGTAATATGTAACTTGCTTGTACTTCTGCTTCTAACAGGACTTTCTACTTCAAATTAGTGTCAATGCCACACTGGTTGGCTGATACTAATATGCAATCCTAATATCTTTGTCTGTTTAAGTCAACAGGCCTTCAGTGTCTTTTGTATTATTTGTTTAATAGATGCCCTGGACTCATTTGCTGAGGAGACAGGTATAAGATCATTCTTTGGAAGTCTGCAGAATGGTTCCCTCCCTCAGGTATTATCCTTGACCAACATGCGTTCACATTGGTTCTGTTTAGACTCATATCAATGGTTAGAATGATTTTTGAGGAGCTTTTCTTTTCTTATTCAGAGAGGAACTGATTAGTAGAGTTTTTTGTTTATTTTGTCTCTCTCTGTATATTGAATGGTGAGATACATTTATATTTATCATGGACTGGTTGTACAGCCCTGCAGGTACATTAGACAGTACTGGAGTAATATCACACAGTCAGACCTTTGTTATATCAGGCTCATAGAGCTCTGGAGAAAACCTGGAGCAAAATGATTTAAAGAGAGCAAGGTGCATGCTATGCCATGCTCCAAAATGACCTTTTTGAGCTTGACCGAATCCACCTACTTTCATTTAAGCTTGTCAGAACTAAGGCTTGGTTATAGATTAATGTATTTGAAACAATTAGCAGTGGTAAAGATGTATTTCCTACCTTTGAGGAGAGCTGTTTAATCTTGTAGAGCTGAACAAGGAATAGACCTTGATTGTTTTATGGAGATCACCATTGGCCGGTGGTGCTGAAAGACATCAGGTGTTAGACATCTATTGTCTCAGACAGCTGTTGTTGAGCTGTTTTCAGGGGGACCAAAATCTCCAACTGATTGCAGATTAAGCTTTCTAAATACTGTATAATGTGTTACAAGAACAATTATACCACTTGACAAATATGACAGTACTTCACTGCATATTGCAATATATCAGATTTTACAGTTATGGTCAATCATTCTTGTAATTACTCAATTAAATATAATTAAATATAAAGGTTTATAAAGTATTAAGGACTGTTTGTGGAGCTGCCCTAAATATGTCTCTAGATAGTATAATCAATAGTCTGTCTTTCTGCCTATAGTTAAATGTGAGGCTTGAACAAGTTCACAAATTGAAACAACTGTACAACAGCAAAGAACAGACTATACAACAATTTCATATCCAGAGTAGATTTCCCTTTAAGTACAATGAAACAATGCAATAAATGTTTTATCTACAAAAATTAAACTATAAAATGTATTTTTTGTGTATAATAAGCAAATAGACTTGTAAATATATTTTTCATCTTTTCTGTCATGTGCATCAAGCTGTGTGTTTTTTCCTGTCATTCCCTTCCAGATCTCCATATGGGACAGTTTCACTTGGTGGTGGGGGTCTGAAGAGGTTGGAGTGATAAGAAGAAGAAAAAAGCCAGTTGCCAACAGGGCAATCCTAAAACCTAAAACTAAAGAATAAAACATATTCCGCTGCTGAAAGAAGAGTGAACACTCAAGACACAGATGTTAGCATCTGTTACAGCAGCAGGTTTCTGAATAAAGAATGTAGTCTTCAGTTTACTTTGTATTTGATGACATAAAGAATGTTACATGTAATCCATTTTTGTTTGTATTATAGAGAACACTGATCAACTTGTCTTAGAAAACATGCCTTATAAAGAAACATGTATCAAATTTTATATATTTTAAATCACTCAATCATATTTTCCATTAGTATTACTAAGTTAGAAATGTAACTTACCAGAGATTTTCACTGAATAAACAATGGCTTTTTGTTATTCTGGCTTCTTAGACAATTGGAAAAAAACATACAGAGCAAGAGGATAATACTGATATTTTAATTATTATTGTATATTAAATGTCTGTTAACACAAAAACATTTTGTTTTCCATAAACTTTATTATTTTAAGTGTGAGAAACATTCTGCTGTGTGCAGCTACTCCAAACAAGCATATAAAGAAGACACTGAATCAAGATGTGCCTTTTATATCAGTGTATCATTAATACTGCATGCATAAATACATTTAGTGACAAGGGATACTACAAGCTACGGTGAGTGATTGTTACACAAAACAAGTTAAAATATCATCGGTGTCAAAAATACACACTAAAAAGAAAACTGCTTTAGCGGCATTCACACTCCTTTGCCACTACATCTGGTACAGTGGAAACATAAGTCCCAGTTTCGTTACCAAACACCATGTACAGGGGTTCATAGGCCACAGGCACACAGCACGGGGCCCGCTCATCCCCATTTTCACTAGCAATGTGCGATGTGAGCAGGACAGCATGGACAGTGATTTTATACCTCGGGGTAGAACAAGAGCCATGGCAGTTCTTGATGTTGGAAGTGGACGGACTCAGGGCACTCTTTACAAGGGACACGGTGAGGCTCTTCAGCCCACAGCCGTCGTCCCTCACTGGGTTACTGGGGTCTGCTCTGGTGGCCCGCAGTCCTCTCCGCAGCTCATATGCACAGGTCACCGTCTGCAGAGCCTTCAGCAGAAGAAGTGCACGGTATTGGGTCTCTCCTATTACATGCAGACATGACAACATGATCCTAAGTTAAAGAGTGGTAATACAGGATCTTGAGACCAATGACATCCAAATTTATGTCAGGTGGGCTAAAGAATGACAAACATATTATTTAGCTTTTGCTGCGATTCCCAACCAGTGGTACTTCTGCTGTGGTGGATCATGGAGTAGCTCAGCCACTTTGAAATAAGTAACAGAAATTACTATTTGAACCACTACAGCTAAATACCACATGGTACAAGTTAGAGTGTGTGGAAAAATTGTTGTAAAACTAATCAATAAACAACTGGGATAGGTAAAAGTAAATGATAAACAGGTAACTGCAATGGATAAATGATTGAAATAAGTAAAACATAAATGGTAGAAAGAGCTATGAGCAGTTGAAATTGGTAACAGATAAATTAGTTAGCTAAAAGTAATGGATAAATGCTTGAGATAAATAGGTAATGGATAAATGTCTGCATTAGTAAAGTAACTAAAAGAAGCAGCTAAGAAAGTTAGCTGATGTTAAGTTTAAAGTAAGAGATAAGCAGATGAAGTAGCTTAAAATAATGAATGACTGAAAAGACTAATGCATAGATGCTTGAAACATCCACCTTTATCTTGCCTCTCCAAATGGTAGTAGTACAAACCTAAAGTGACCTAAATATTTACAGGGCAGTTATATGATAAAAACATTGTAACATCCACTATTATACCCACAAAATTAAAACTCTGGAGTATGTCAGGTGGTGCTGGTGAAGGAGTATTTGAGTTCATGTGATAAGGTTGTTGGGATGCATCTGACAAAAAAACAGAAGGCTGGTAAACACTGCTTTAGGCCAGTGTTTTCACATCACCTGCTGCTGGTTCCTTCTTCAGAAGTACACTGACTTCTTCAAGCCTCCCCAGCCTCTCTGTGGCACTGCGATCCACTTCCTCCTCCCTTATTACCTCTCTTATCTGTGTCACAGTCTGCTGCAACCTCTGCCTGAGCTCTGCCAACAGTGCAGGAGACAGGGCCAATTCTCCATGATACACATGAAACATGGAGTGCCAGCTAGTGAAGGAGAAGACGGTGGGGGCTGAGGAGCTGATCAGCTCTGCTAGCAGGGTCTCACTGGAGGATAAGCCAAGTGCCAGAGGAGGCAGGGACTGTAAGGAGTCCAGATGGACCAGAGGGGGCTTAGGGTGCTCCTGAGGCAGGATGTCACCCAGGAACCGCTTCAGCTCACAAAGGAAGGACAGGGTTTGTGAGGAGGCTGGAGATGAGCTTGAAACATGTGCATATCTAAGAATGAGAGTTAAAAAAAACATGTTATTGAGCAACACTCTGAGAACAGAGAATTTTAGTAGAGAATATGGAAGTTAAACAAACCTTGTATCAGTTCCTGTTTCCCCAGAGAAAAGCAGAAGTGGAGTCACGTTGATGTTACTTCCAGATTTTCCACCAATAAAAATGTCTTTTAGGCTTTGCTCTGCAAAAAGAGGAAATGTGATGAGAGTGCACATGAAACAAGAAAATGACAACAAGATAATATCTTACCCATGTCAGGGGATTTAGTTTCAACAGAAATCCTCCATTTCTGGTAAATGTTGCCCTCTGATGCTTTTCCTGTCAGTAGTAGGTACTGTGTCTCTCCTGAAATGCACACAGACTAGAAGCAACAACAGGAAAACCAGGGGTTATTGGGTGACAGTGTTTAACTGTAGGTCATGTTAAATCTGTAGATTTGGTACCTTAAGTGTTGTTACATCATCTGTAATATCTATCATTCCAGAAATACTGCAATATCTAAACAAAGTAACATACAACAGATTAAACAACTTCATCCATGCAATAGTCACACCAGGGCATTCTTTACCTGTGTGTTAGGCTCCAGTGACTGACTAGTGAAAGTAATGTCCAGGTCTCCTCCTCTGAGTGGACCTTCAAATGTCAGGAGCAGCACAGGGTTCATTGTGAGCGAAGGAGACTGTGGGGGGTCAAAGGTCAACTTGAGCGCTCCTCTTTCGTCGTCCTCTTCCACCAGCACTGACAGAGGAAACAAGACATGCTTTAAGATTACAAACAGACAATCAAACAAAAATTGGTGCAATCTGAGAGCTTTGTTACCTCCACTCGGAAGCACAACCTGCGATAGTCGTCTGTGGTTTCTGCTTGTTTCCTTAGCGAGCTCTAACAAGACTGAACATGATGAATTTTCAGATACTGTGCAGATTCCAAACAGCGCCAAACTGCTGTTTGTGAGTTCACCGTCGTTCCCCACACAATCACGCAACACTGAGAGTATGTCATCCACAAAGCACAGGCTGTTGTGAGGGATGTGATGAGACACTGTGGAAGCTGCTTTTGCTGATGGGAATGCGTGCTCTGCATTTTTAATCTCCAAATCATCTCCAGTTTCTGTGGAGTTCATTGCACGGTGGCCTTTAATTGAATTGGAATAAGAATAAAATGACATTACATCAAAATCAGATTACATTAAAACCAGCTACTACAGCACTAACTACATGCAAACGTCCCAGTCTTTGCTCAAAATGACTGAATCATTAATAAGTTAAAAAACAACAAATTGTAATGCCAGTTCACAAAAAATGCATGAATAATAAATACTCAGAGTCATGCAGAATTTCAGATGTGTGGAATCTGACCTGTCATTGTGGGGTCAAGGATCAGCTGCTGTCCATGGACATGTGGGGCCACAAAGAGCTGGGTCCAGCAGAGCATTAACGCTCTACAGTAGAGCACATTCACACCCACCATGCTTCACAGTTTCAATGAACTGTATGCCTGTGTGGTCAAGCCTTTCTCAATTGCTTGTTTTGAATGGGTCAAGCTCTAGAGGATGGGAGTCTTATCCTCCCACCTTTCCTTCTCACTGACTGGGGAGGATGCTGCCAAAACAGGAATATCATGTGTCCTTGATGATTTAGCCAGTCTGAACTGTTTGCTACACAAAAAGATGCTGTTTATTTATTTATTTATTTACCTCCAGGAAGCGGGTTAAACCTATGTAATACAAGGGAATGAATGGAAAACAAAAGGTAGCTTTGCTGGTTTGGACACACAGTGAACCTCCCTGTTTGTAGACTCAGACTAATGAAGGCAATGACAGACATCAAGGGAGGTTTAAGGATTAAAGAACAGACTTTCTCTAATTTTCTAGTGAACCTTTTACTGTTTTAAACAAATGATGAGATGAGAGGTCTTGTTTTAATCCTTCATGGTTGTATAGCGATGATCCACTGTATATTGTTAAAGTTAATTGAGTTTAAATGCTGTTATTTGAGCAAATCTTGAGGTGAAATCAGTTAAAAAAGGAAAAGACATAAAGAAAAGAAAAAAGTAAAACCAAACCAAAACCACACAAAATATATTGTATTGGACTTACAGTACAATTAAAAATTGATAGTAAAAGTGCAGAACTAAGCTTATAGAAACGTGGACGATCAAAAGTGTCCAGTTCAACAGTGGAAACTATCTTATTGCCTTATTTTAGGACAATGCTCTTAGCATCATGACATCAAGGTGGTTTAAAGGGATAGCTTGACACTTTGAGAAATATGCTTTTTCACTTTCTTGCTGAGAGTTAGATGAGAAGATAGATATTATAGAAGTACTTCTATGGTATAATACCTGTACATTACCTATGAAGCTGAAGCCAGGAGCTTAGCTTAACTCAAACACTGGAAACAGTTAGTCTGGCTCGCTTCAAAAGCAGCAAAATTATTCTATGAGCACATTTAACTCACCACTTCGATCCATACAAATTTGCAGTGTCCAGTCTGTGTGTGCTTGACTATTTTTTTGGCAATTTTTAAAATTTGTTTTGGTTTAACTCTTTAGATTTTGTAAGGTTAGACAAATCAGAAATAATGTAATAATTGCTGTGCCTTAGTAGTATGGCAGATTTCTTATTACCTCTGGCAGAGCTTAGTTGTCTACAGCCTGTTTGTAGCTCATTAGCTTAGCATAGTTTTTTGCTAAGCTAACAGGCTTCAGGCTCCAACCTCATATTCAAGGGACAGGACCAAGTATGGTATCAATCTTCTCATCTACATCTCAACAGGAAAGTTAAGAATGGTTTGGTATGGTACCTAAAATGTTGAACTATTCCTTTAGTACAAACACCTCACCGTGATGAGTCAGTCACAAATGATTTGACCCTTGAACTCTTGAATAAAGAGAATTTATTATCTATGTCAGCTATTCTCCTCTAGTGTGCCTCTAATGATCTTGTAATGTGTTGATTTGCACCAGTTGTTATTGGTCAGACTGAGCTATTAAAACAGATCATTTACATGTCCAGTGTTTGTTTGTTTGTTGTGTCCTGATGCTTTTCTCTCTCCTCTATCCACTCACCCCAACCAGTCGAGGCAGAAGGCCACCCACCAAGAGCTAGGGTCTGTCTTAGGTTTCTTCCATTAAAGGGAATTTTTCCTCTCCACTGTCGCCAAGTCCTTGCTCAAGAGGGTTGTGTTGGGATTGACCTATAATACTGTATGGTCTAGACTTTATTATGTAAAGTGGCCTGACATGATTGTTGTTGTGAATTGGTACTAAACAAATAGAACAGAACTGAATTCATGTTTGTCAAACCAGCAGTCAATGAGAAAGGACTACAGTCTAATAGAAGATCTAAGCAGCATTTGGATGCATGTCAAACAAGGCAATGACAGAGTTGAGTTGGACAGCATTATTCAGAGGATGTTTCCCTAAGGAATGTTTACAGTTGTAACCCTTATTATTCATGCTGGAAGGGGTAAAACACTGAACAGTGAGCCTGCTCTCAGAAAGGAACAGGGCCATGAGATCTGACTCCTTTCAAAGAGCGTTACTCCCATCAATAGTCTTCCAGCTGCAGCCTTGTTTTGCAGACAGTCAAGGTCTCTGAGCTGTTTAATGGCTGTGTATCCCACGAGATAAAGCCAGGGCTCATTCTTGTAAATTACACATCTTCTGGGCAGAATGACAAGAATTTTTCATCTCTTTCTATTGGCAACATGTTATGAACAGAGTATTTGCATAACTGTTCTTGTTCTACCAAATCTTCCTGGTGGTTATTTACAATAGGTAGATCTAAACTGTGGGAATTAGTTTATATTCAAAAGTATTTTAATAAAAACCTATATGGTTTAAGTCCTCTACATATTTCTACTCCTGAGAATATAGAACCTGCACACTGCGGCTGAGTCCAGGTGAAAGGCTTCATTATACGGCCTTGCTGGGAGGTTTAGTCAAACACGCTCCAGGCATTTTGGCACAATAACAAGTACACACTTCTCTGAATTGTGATAGTGGGAGCTCAGAGTATTAATGTAGCAACACTATAAAAACACAACTGGCCATATGTTCAGTGCCACATTTTTCTGTTTTGAATATACAATTTTTTTTTATGTTTTATTTTTTTGAACAAGTGCCGTCTTCTTGCTTCCTCATGTTTAACTCACTTATTTTCAAAATAAAACTACTTTAGTGTGTGGACTTCAGCATGATCTACCAGTCTTCCATGGGGAAAAACAGAATGGAATCACACAAGTGTCTCTACACAACAAAATAAATTCACATATTCTAAGAAACATTTTATTAAGAGCCATAAAACGCAGGGGAAAAAACATTAATTCCATATGTTTCATTATAACATCTTAGGATAAAAGCACCAACACCAAACAGTAACAGTTTTTCCACGAAACTCCAAGGCCTTTTGGAAAGTAGGTTTGCCGTTATTGCACCTCAAACCTGCCCTGGCTTCACCAGTCAGATTACCATAAACACACTTTAGTTCACGTCTGTCCTTGATCAGTTTCTGACCCAAATACTGGGATGGATCCCACCAGAGGACAATGAACCTCCTTCTTAGAGACACAAATCTAGACAGAGGCATTTGTGAGATGAGGAAGATGCTGAAAGCGATAGCTATTTCACAGCTTCTTGAGATCAGACTGACTTATAAAGCTCTATAAAGCTGGATTTCCCTTGAGAGGCTGGGTGTAAGTGAGAGTGAGAATGAATCAGTGGAGCTCAGACAAGGCAGATGTCATTTTACATTAAAATACACTTGTTAAGGGGTTGTCCTGGTCCTGAGTTAGGTTAGAGAGGGACTTCACAATGCCACATAATGGTTGAACAGGTTTGTGACAAGCTCTAGCTTAAAGAAAATAGTTCACATTATTCATTTCAAGCACAATAGGAAGTTCCCAAGTTAAGACCTCTGGCAGGATTTAAAGTAAACAACCTTGACCGCGGAGCTGTCGCCAATCAGTAGTGTACCAGGATGGAGAACTGCATAGAAGCTTTAAGCTCAAGTCATGCTCATATGCCAAAGGATTTAGATAGCTAACAGCACCTCATCCCTTTCAGCTACAGAAGTGGTATGAAATCTGTAATGAACTTTTCTGCTTCCACAAAACATTCTCACTCGCACATCGAGAACATTAGAAAAACTTCCGCAGGTTAGACAGGGCTGTCCAGAAAGCCGCCAGGCAAGCTTGTGTTGAGGATTAATAAACCATAAAACCCTGCAGCACAACAGGAGAAGAGTAGTATTTTAGCATCAATAGCTGCAATTTCCTTGTTTTAAGTGAAGGAGAGCACCGTGCTGTCTGCCTGACTAGTAGTAGTAAAAACTGACAGGAATCTGAAGACACAATTAAAAGCATAACATGTAACTGCAATTGTATCAAACACCAAGAATAAGAAAATCAAACAGCATCAACAGTAATTACAAAAGACCTTTCAGTGCTGGTAACAAATAGACTCTATTGTTTCTAATTCTGTTACAAATGACTTATTCACTTATATACTTGCAGGTGAGAAACACAGGAGGACAGAGGACAGGAGCTTTTACCATAAAGCTTTAGTCTAATCTTCTCTTCGAAGTGAAAAAAAAAAAACAAAACAAAAAAACAGCACACACACAAACTGAGCTTATTCCCACTGTCAGAGAAAAACAAAACTCGGCTGCTCTCGAGTGTTTTACATCAGAATGTCTCTTGCAATTACACAATATGCTCACATTACAAGGTACAGACTTGTCAGTAAGACGTCTAAAGACAGACAGTGTGTGCAACGAGCTTGTGTACGCACCACAAAAAACTGCTTGTAAAATCTGAATTGCCATAGTTTGCAAAAAGAAGCACCATATTTCCTGCAGAATCTGAACAAAACAAGAGAGAAACAAAGAAGTGAAAACATCTGAAAAAGGTGAGAACATTTCTAGTGCTGGAATCAAGTTGTGTTTGAGCCACAGCGCCTCTGTGTGTTAAATAAAAACAACTTCTGAGTTTCTAGTTCTGTGGTGTATATATCACAAAAATACAGGTGCTATGTTGCTGTGATGTTAGGCGCCATCTGTTAAGGTCTTGTGGTGGCAATGCTCTCTCCCCTTTGCTTCAAAAGGCCTCCTGTTTAAACAGGCTGAATTTAAGGGCAACAATGCCGGCTCCACAGCACCCTTATTCTCTCTCTCTCTCTCTCTCACACACACACACACACACACACACACACACACTATATATACTTTTACATATATAGACTGTATATAGATACATATTTCATATACCTTTCTGTTTATGATGGAGAGACAACAAAAAGCAAACAGTTATGTACAAAAACAGTGTGTCTTGTTCACTTACATATGAGCAGCTCACTTTTAAGAGCAGATGAATGTTTAAAACGACTGTGTGAAAAACATGAACAGAGGGTCGTTATACCTGTTTACTCAGACTCTGACCCAGCTGTTTCATCGAAAGGTGGTATCTACAGTTGTACACTAGGCATTTAAAGAACCAGATAATAGCATATTAAATATGAGAAAGCAAATGCCAAAAATGGCTTTACAAATGTCCCTGTGTACAGCACCAAGTATTCAATTTGTTTTTGATGTTTTCACTATAGAATAAATAAGTTCAGGCACAGTCCAAATTTAGCACCATTGTTTTCAGACTGTGAGTCAAGTACACACACTATTGCATTCTACAATATCAACACATTTCAGGATTAAAAAGAGAAAAACAAATTCCAAGGCAAATGGAGAGAATGACAGCATAAATATAATAATCTAAATTATGCACAACTATACAGTTGGAGAAAAAAAAAATCACATTCACAGTACAAACATAGTTTACAAAAAAGTAATTACACATTAAAAAAGGAAACAAAAGGGGTGAAGAGTCCAGTAGTTTGTCGTGGTTATAGATCATGTTGTCCCAGTGTGTGAGGATTTGCATGCATGAGTGTGTATGTGCGTGTGTTAACAAAATGTGGTACGTCTCCACATTTGACATTTTAGCCTTAAACATTTACTTAAACCTGCAATTCCCAACAGCAGAGATAAATATGAGTATGTTTCGATTATGAAGGCTTAGAAGTTCCTGCTGTAAGAACATTTCTGCTCTAGCCCCACATAGTAGTGTGATTTACCACATTGACTGAGGAAGAAAATGTTAATGTAAATACAGAACTTATTTGAATCTTCTGTGGTTTTACTCGAGTTTTTGTTTTTACACCATGACTCCTCATCACTTAATAGTGTAGCCACAACTCTGATAACACAAAGCACCATCTCATTAAATTCATTCCAATGGGTCTTTTTTTTAGAGAGAGAAAAAGAAAACGCACTCAGCTCTGCTAAGCATTACTGGCACCCCTGGATATGTTGTAAATCAGAACATCGTTATGGACTTCAAAAATATTACACTTATATGTTCCTCAATAGTTTCACTGATATATTAAATATTTTATATATCAGAAGAAAACCACAGTTAGTGGCAACAAAAAGAAATATGAGCAGTAAAGGGAATTAATAGTGAGAAACCCCTAATTTTCATTTTCTGCAACATAAAAACAGAAAATAATCAACACAACCAGAGTTTAAGGGGTGTTGTCAAACCAGCCAGGACTTGTACGTTTTCTGCTAACTGTATCTTGCTATCCAGTGTGAAGTTAGACTAAAATGTTAAGTTCCTCATCATGTTTCAGTCAAATATGTTGCAACAAATACTGAATTTCACTGAAGGAAAAGAAGTGTTAAAAGAGAGCACACATGCAGACAGGCGAAGCTGCATGACATCTGAGCAGAGTTCAGTGAACTGGTCTATGTGCAATTATGCACAAATTCACTCCTAGAAGTGTCAGTCTGGAGGGCACATGACACCTGATGAGATTCAGCTGTAAAATGTGAACTGTGTGCTTCAATTGGTTGTTAAATGTTACATTAAGTCATTCAATATTTTGCAGAACTCTAGTTGCTATAATAGTGACAAAAATGACAAACTTCCATACTACTGAGCACCTTAATGTTAAACCAGATATATTTCAGTTCATTCAGTGCTTAACAGCAGCAAGTACTGATTTACATGATGTAAAAGCTTCAAACTAACTTATTAACTAACAACACTCCACACCTAAATATGACTAGTACCAATGAATTCTGCTCAAGGTGACCATAGTGGTGGTTGTGGGTAGTGAGTGTGTGTGTGTGGGTAGTGAGTGTGTGTGTGTGTGTGTGTGTGTGTGTGTGTGTCAGAGATGCCAGTCTTGGAGGCGGTTGGGTAGTGCAGACATTTTGAAGCACCAGTGAGTCAGGACAGTGCCTTGGTCCACACCTGGATATTTGCATAGTTTATTTCGTGTTGAGGTAGTTTTCATCAATTACCTGAAGGATCAAAAAAGAAGGGAAAAACGTGAGCTAAAAAATTCACCATAGCAACAAATAAATTAGCCACAACTGTAGCCAATCCCGTCACCTTCAAAACCCAAACTTATCATCCAGTACAGTTTTTAATACTTTAAATCTAAAACTCATTAACTCTCTTACCTTATTCAACCAGAAAAACAGCCTGTGGGAGCACAGGAAAAACAGGTATCCTGTCTCTCTTACTCCCTACCAGTCTCTCCCTCTTTCCACCCTCTCACTGCCCTTCACCCTTCCCCTCTCCATCCTCCACCTTTCCCCCTTTTCCCTCACCCCCCAACCCTATCTAGGCCGGGAGCTGGAGATCTGGGAGGCAGTGTAGGTACCATGCACACTCTGAGTCCTCCACATGCTCCCACCACCACCTGAGCCGCTGACTGGTGGTGGAGGGGTCAGCCGAGGGGAATAGTGCACTGTGAATGGACGAGACAAGGAGGAGGCTGACAGAGAGGAAGAGGAGAGGGAGGCAGTAGCGGCGGCAGCAGCAGAGACAGAAGCAGAGGAGGCAGAGTTGGAGGAGGAGATGGAGACAGAGAGGGATGACTGTGTTCTCTGGTGGTGGAGAGCGGAGTGTGACATACGGGAGGAGTGGAGGGAGTCTGATCGAGAGGATGGCAGGGCATCTGAATGCGTGGTTGTTGACAAGGAGGGGACGCTGTGTAGGGGTGGAGGAGGGGGCAGGGAGAGTGTGGGAGGAGAAGGGCTATGCAGGACTGACTGGGTGCGGCTATGTTGAGCCTGGGAGAGGGGGAGAGGTGAGGACACGGAGGCCAGGCGCGTGGAGGCTGGTGGGGGGGTGGTGAGCTGCTGGGTTTGGGAGGAGGTAGAGGAAGAGGAGGAGAGACTGAGCAGAGAGCTGAGGCCTCCAGAGGTGGGCAGCGTCACCCCAAACTGATGGGAGGACACTGAGGGAACCACGTGGTGAAATATACCTGCAAATCATACAGCAGAAAATGGAGGGAAGGGGAGGACAAGAGAGTGGAGACAGGGAAGAGAGAGCAGGTAATAGCAGCAAGGAGAGCAAGAAGGGGGACAAAGAGAGAAGCAAGGACTGAGCCACATTGTGCATAGTGCCAGGCAAGTCTTAGAAAAGCACACTGAAAGCCAACAGAGTCAGTCCACTGTGACTGTAGTGGGATAAAACTAAACATTTGGGACATTTTAGGATTGAAGTTAAACAGGAATTTTAGCATAGCAAAGCTGATTTCTAGATATATTTTTGCTGACAAGTGAAGTGACTCTGATAAACAACTCCAACACCCACAGAAAATGACAAATTAACCAATGTAGAATCAAATGGTTATATAAAAGATTTTTTAATACGAGATCAACCACAGATTGCAAGACAATGCTTTCTTTCCAAAATCTGTTCTGTATTTGTATTGTTTTCTCTTACTAAAGCAGCATTTTCTGAGGGTGTCTTCAACTACAGCACTCAAGCAGCCAGTCCATGTCACAAAGCAAAGCAACACAGAGAGTCAGTTGTCTGTCAAGCTGTCAGTGGCACAGACAGCAGCACTAGGCCCTCCACTGCCCTGCCTCTAATAGCAGGCCCATTCCCTGATGACTCAAGGCTAAGACTAAGACCTCACTGACTGTTCAACAACCCCCAGATAAACCTTTACACAATCAGTATGTCATCAGTGATACTTGCCTCCAGCCGCTCCCCCTGCCAGCCCAGCACTGGAAAAGTTTCCCAGGGCAGAGTGTCCATTGACAAGACGTGGGGATCCACTAACCGTGGTGCTGCCTGTCTGGGCCCCGAACAAGGACTGTAAGACTGAGGTCCCCCCAAGAGGGAACTGAGACCCCAGGTACTGTCCCACTGATGATCCTGTTGTTGAGGAAACTGCTACAGGACTGCCTCCCACCTTTCCACTCAGAATCCCTCCGCTGCTGGCAGCAGCAGAAATGAAAAGGTTCTGACTGGCCAGGCTGCTGCTGGTCTTCAGCTCCCAGTCACGGGGTGCCTTTTGCTTCTGGGTCTGGCGTTGGTCTGAACAACTGCCTCCCTGGGGACCACCACCACTGCTACCCCCACTTCGGGTTCCTGTCTCCTGACTGAGGAAGGGGTTGGGGGTCATGTAGTTGGATGAGTCTCCATCACTCCCTTTTCTCACCTGCTGTTTGTGATCAGAATCTGAATCTGTGCCCCGGCTCGACGCTCCCATACCAAATGGAGAGCCCCCCTGTCTCAGGTCGGAGTTGGGCTGCTTGGGGTCAGAAATGGGTGAAAAGGTAGATTTCCACTTGCTGGTAGAGGACAAGGAAGATGAAGAGGAGGCCTCACTACCTGTGCTGTTACCACTGCTGCTACCAGATTTTCTGCCTAGTGGAGGGCAAGGAGAAGAGTAGTTGCCTTTGAGTGACAGAAGTGGAAGGTTATTTTTATTTTTATTTATTTATTTATTTACCTCTTTCACTATCACCTAGTCTTCCAGGTCCATCTCTGCTCTCCAAGGATATAGTGGCAATTTTTCTCTCAATTCTACAAAAAACAAAAATGAACAATCAAAACAAATAACCTATAAATTCTACAACAAGTGCCTGTCCTATTACTAACATAAGAACACAAAGAAAAATGCTGTGATTGATCATAGCGGCTCAACTTTGTCAAAAAAAAAAAAAAAGGTGAAACAGCCCACAGCTGTAGGGGATACCTGCAAAGTCTTATTGCAACAAGGGCAGCTCAGCAGGTACTTTGATGTCCTTCATATCTTGATATTATGACTATATTACCTTGAACTTGAGCTGTCAGCAGGGTATCCTGAGTCATCATCATCAGAACTGGGGGCTGAGTAACGACCTGTGCCATTGAGCTCTAGGGGGCGCTCTCTCTTCAGGACGGGAGGCTGGTCCAGGTCAAGCCCATTGGGGCTGCGGCTTGACTGTTCTGGGGAGGAGATGGCAGAGATCTCCAGAGGCTGGTTGATGTTGTTAACCTGTTGAGACAAATGATTACACCGTGACTGATCCTGACTGAACTCACTCACATTGAAACAACATATCTGTAAGACCCGATGGTTTAAATACAGCACAGACTTCAAACTTCTTGCTCATGACACTGACTATACACCGATCAGGCATAACATTATGACCACTGGCAGGTGACGTGAATAACACTGACTGTTACAGTGTGTGGGGTATATTAGGCAGCAAGTGAACATTCAGTCCTCAAAGTTGATGTTGGAAGCAGGAAAAACTGACACGTGTAAGGATGTGAGTGACTTTGACAAGGATCAAACTGTGATGGTGAGATGACTGGGTCAGATCATCTCCCACACTGCAGGTCTTGGTGGGTGTTGTTGGTCTGTAGTGGTTAGTACCTAGCAACAGTGTCTAAGGAAGGACAAATGGTGAACTGGAGACAGGGTCATGGACGCCCACGGCTCACTGATGATGAGGTTGATCTACTGTAGATTAAACTTTTAACTTCCATTTGTACTTTTCAAGAGATTAAAATTTTATTTGAATCTTTGTTAAAATGGTTGAAAATGAGAAATACTGTCCATTGGTCTCTATGAAGAGAAAGAGTCAGGGGCTGTAGTGGTGATATCACACCTAGAGTGGTGAGGCTGATGAATTTGTCTAAAAGATTCTCTAACTCGTCCTCACAGTTTTCACTCCTTATACATAAGTTTTTCACTGAATTGTAGTAGTGTTGCTTTCATCAGCAAAAATTATGACTAAATATCGTTGTCAACGAACCTTTATCACGTGACGAAAACAAGACGAGACAACGAAAATGCCGGTCATGTGACGATAACTATAATTATATGGATAATGCAATATTGTTGACCAAAAAAAACGAGACTAAATGTGGTTTACAAAATAAAAACTATGCTAAAATGTCTCTTTATTTTCGTTGACCAAAACCAGACAAAATGAAGTGTTATAAAAATTATTTCGTCTCGTTTAGTCACATTATTATTATTATTTTGCAGAATTTCTGTTTCCTGTGTCTCGCTTCAGGGGCCGCATCGGGTCGCACTGCGCAGACGCAGGTGACGTCACTTCCTTAAGCTCCACTCGCGACGTTATTTAGAAGACAACAGAGTTAAGTCTGACACAGAGAAAGGGACCGATGGCCGGCCAGCCGGGATTTCGTCTTTGGGAGAAAAAGAAGAAACGACATTTGGAAAAACTTTCATTACATAAAAGTGGAAAAGAAAACGGAATGTGTTGTGGAAAAAGATGGGGAGAAATGTGGCCACAAAATCACACAAAATGTGTGTTGGATGTATTCTTGAGTCTATAAGGTAACAATAATATAATAAGATAACCTTGTTTGAAATGGGTTTGGCTAAAAGAAAATTTTGGTTTCGTCTATACTACTAGGTACTTATACTATATTGACTGGGTTAAATAGAACTGTATTACTAAAGAGACTAAAATAAAATTTTATTGACTAAAACTAGACTACAATGTCAGTTTTCATCAACTAAAACTAGATGAAAATAGTCATAGATAATTCATACTACAATAAGACTAAAATGCTCAGACGTAGTTGACTGAAACTTGACTAGACTAAAAAGAGTATGAACGTGACAAAAACTAATAAAAATTAAAATGACAGCTTCACACAAAGACTAGACTAAAACAGGCCACCAAAAACAACTGTAAATTGTAGACACATCTGTGCTCCTTCCTGACAGTATAATTGTGGAAGCAAATGGATTCACAGAAGATGCACAGTGAGCTGCAGAGCGACACGAGTGCCAACCAACTGCCACATTGACTCCTATGTAAACAGTATTAGGCAGGTGGTCATAATGTTATGCATGATCAGTGTAACTGATAGTACTAAGCCGTCCCTGGTAGGCTAGTGGTTAAGGCGCAGCACTTTTGCCGCGGCGCCCCGGGTTCGAATCAGGGTTGCGTCAGGAAGGGGATCCGGCGTAAAACACGTGCCAAATGTCAACATGCGAGTCGTCAGTGTGACAATTTGCTGTGGCGACCCCTAAACGGGAAAAGCCGAAAGTGACTTCAGTGTAACTGATAGTACTGCATAGTCCAGTAATCATTATGGAACTTCACAGAATTACCAATTGCTTTCTTAAAAATCAATACAGTGTCACATTGTTTCAGGCTGGTTTCCATTTTGAATGCTTTCAGTGACTCACCATAGAGTTAATATTTAGTGGTGAACCTGAGGAGTGGCTGTTGGAGCTGAGCCCGGGGAACGACCTCCTCTTTGGAGATCCACTAGCTGTGACAGTCCCTGCAGAGCTGCGTTTCCTTCTTCCCCGCTTGCGTCCCTCTTGAGAGCCTAGGCTGTGAGAGGAGTGTGATGATGACGTATGTGTGGGTGTGTGGGTGTGCTGCGTGCTGGGGGACCGGTGGTGGTGGTTTCCATGGATACTGTGGTATCCCTGCTTGGCTGAGTTGCCAGTGTGATGGTGGAGGCGTGTTCCTCCAGCCGTGCTGCCTCCACTGCCTGATGAAGAGGAAGACGAGGATGAAGAGGAGGAAGAAGAGAAGAAGATTCTCCTCCGCAGTTCGCTGTCTTGGGGCTCTGTGTCAGATTCTCCACCGTGGCGGTCTTCTGGAAGAATCCTCGGGGGTCCATCTGCATACTGGAGCACCCCTCCAGTACTGGGTGGGGGGCTCTGGATGGGACCTCCTCGGCCCATTGGTCCTGTCAGAGGAGTGTTGCTGTGTGGAGGAGTTGATGAAGAAGCACCATTGTGGTCCTCTGGGTGGGGACCTCCATTCATCATCCCTGAGCTTGAGGAATACCCTAAAGAGAGACCAAACAAGATAAGACAAACATACTTAGAAAGAACAGATAATAAACGATCAAACACAGGAAACACTTAAATACTCACAATTTATCAATTTCAGGTGATAATGTGGTGCAGAAAAATGGAATGTATTCTTCTAAAGGTAACAGTGGCTATAACATGTGAAATGCGGATTGAGTGGTTGAGGGGTATTCCTTACCATTGGTCTGGCCTGCCTGAGAGACAGGACTCGGAGTACTTCTCTGAAATTATGAACACAAAGAACATATCATGATGTGAACTCAACACAAAATATCTAAAACTTGAAAAACTATGGCAATTGAAACAACAGTTGTTAATATTACATCGCTCTAACTTGTCTATGTGGATTTGTTGCACCATTCTTATTTTTCACATGAGAACATTGCATCTGCAGCACGGTACTAATGTAAGTGGCCTAGACTGAGGCAAGAGAAATGCAAACCTCACAACAGCCACTGCACTTGTTAACAACCACATGTCCTGTGTCCTACAAAAACACAGTGAATATGTTGATAATATTTTATGGATAATGATACACCGGTTAATAGATTGGAGGATGTAGTAGATAAGTTCAATAGGTTCTTTGTGAATGTTGGTCCTGGTTTAGCAAGAAGCATTTGTACAGATGATACATCCGTCACTATAAATAATAATACAATCGAAAGGAACATGAGTTCTATGTTTTTGAAGCCCATAGTTGAAAAGGAAATTATAGAGATAGTGAATAAATGTGGCAACAAAACATCTAGTGATAGTGATGGTATCACTATGACAACTGTTAAATGGGTAATTGAGGGGATATGCAAACCATTAACCCATATTTTTAACATGTCGTTTCGACTTGG